ACTTTGGGCAGTTACTAAACCTCTGAGGCTTAACTTCATCTCACAATAGGGAGCTGGACTCTGGAAGCCTCGTGGACGAAAGCCATTCACTTGCGTGTTCTACTTTATACCAGCGGTTCTCAACCTGTGGATCGCGACCCCTTTGGCGGTCGAATGACCCTTTCACAGGGGTCGCCTAAGACCCTCCTGCATATCAGATATTTACATTACGATTCATAACAGCAGCAACATTACAGTTATGAAGTAGCAACGAAAATAATTTTATGGTTGGGTCACAACATGAGGAACTGTATTTAAAGGGCCAAAAGGTTGAGTACCACTGTTTTATACCATGAAGTTTGAACACTATAGCTCATGTATAGTTAAATCAGATAGACTGCTATTGCTCTTATCACTTTAAAAATCATTTTAATTATCACTAAGACAATTCAATCAATACAGAAGTAAATAAAGTAAAAAGAGCAGGAATCTTCCATCTCCCTATTCCTATTCCTAGGGATGGTATACATATGAGGAGACAGAAGGAAGCTAGGTAGACAGGGGCAGGGCCACGGGAAGGAAAGTAACCCAAGAACCCAACTAGGCAGGTGGGGGGCGGGGGCGGGGGCGGGTAAGGACACAGGTGAGAGGCATGAACTTTTAAATACTAAGACAGAGAATGTGCAGATAACCAATCACAAGGCAGTAAGGCGTATAAACCAATCCTAAGGATGTTGCTAAGACAAAATTCTTTGAAAAGACCAATCAGGAGCTAGAAAGGCTGTATCCACTCCCTAAATTTAAAGGTATGTTTCCTTCCACTCTCTCTCTCTTCTCCCCTGCAGCAATGGATTCCTGACCTTCCCTGGTGCCCACGTGGCTTATGGCCATGTGGACCTCCACACGTGGACTAACAGACTTTAATTTGCATGGATGCTCTCGATAAACTGTGTTCCACTAACCATGTTTGTCCACAACTTTGTTCTTCTGCTTTGAGAGACAACAAACTCGGACTCAAAACACCCACATTTGGTTCCATATACATGACCAGAGAAGCAGGAGCACAAACAAATCAGAACAGACGCAGTGGTGAGCTGCCCGGTTGGCCCCTTCAGTGGACTGCCTTCCGGCCTGCATGCTCTCCCCAGGACCACACTCAGCTCTCTGGCCTACCCTTCTAGACTTTTATTGCAAATACCCTTTTCTATTCCCATACAGACACATAAATGTATAGACACACACATAGGTGGTTGTTTTTTTCTTCTCTTTTTTAAAGCAAAATATGGAAACATACTAATTACAGTTTTAAAACTCCAATTTTATTGTGGACATTTTTAATATCCATATTCAGAGTTCCAACTGAATCCACAAACTCTCTTCTTTTTCTTTTTTAAAATATATTTTTATTGATTTCAGAGAGGAAGGGAAAAGGAGAGTTAGAAACGTCAATGATGAGAGAGAATCATTGATTGGCTGCCTCCTGTATGCCCCCTACTGGGGAATCAAGTCCACAACCCGGGCATGTGCCCTTGACCAAAATTGAACCCAGGACATTTCAGTCCACAGGCTGCTCTATCCATTGAGCCAAACCGGCTAGGGCCACAGACTCGTTTCTTTAGCCCCTGAAGAGAATTCTCCAGTTTATCTAACCATCTCCTGATGATGCCATTAGGCTGTCATCACATAATCCTATATAATAAAAGCCTAATATGCTAAGTGCCTGGTCGTCCAGTCATCCATTCAACCAATCAAAGCCTAAAATGTTAATAATATGCTAAGGCCACTCAACCACTCACTATGACATGCACTGACTACCAGGGGCAGACGCTCCAACTGGTAGGTTAGCTTGCTGCTGGGGTCTGGCTGATGGGGACTGAGCAAGCCAGGCTGGACACGCCCTGGAGCCCTCCCACGGTCCCTCCCCAGCTGGCCAACCTCCTGTGTCCCTCCCCAGCCCCAATCATGCACCGGTGGAGTCCCTTGGCCTGGCCTGTGCCCTCTCATAATCCGGGACCCCTTGGGGGATGTCAAAGAGCTGGTTTTGGCCTGATCCTGCAGGCCAGGCTGAGGGACCCCACTGTGCATTAATTCATGCACTGGGCCTCTAGTATGTTTATAATTGTTGTGAAAAATAAAACAATAGGCTTGGAGTTTAAGAATTATAAGCTATTTATAAGAACTGCATTTCAGAAATAAGGAGGGGGCCTGCCCCAGTGAGGCCACAACCTGCATTGTTTCATGTGTAACAACCTAAAACTCCCTCAGGAAATACCTGGTGGTGAGCTGGTGAGAGTGGCCTCCTGGGGACCCGGGTGAGGCCAGGGCAGCCCCAGAGAGGAGAGGGGGCACCTTTAGTCATAAATTGGCAAGCTTCAAAGGGCTCTTTGAAAAGAATGTGGAGAGTTCACATTTGAAAGCGACCCCACTGTTTATCTAGTAAAGCAGTGAGGATATAATCATCTCTGTAAGGATTTCAGTTTCCCAGCTAGTGATCTGAGACAGTGGTTCATCACGGAACAGCTGCATCTTCCTCATCCCCAAAGCTGGCGGCCCAGCTGCGTGTGGCCTGGGCACTTCTGCAGGACTGCTTCTTACAGCTCAGGACTGTCCCGATCACAGCCTGGGCTGGGCCAGGCGAGGCAAAGGGAATTAACCTCACACACTCACCACCTTCAGCAGCTCCCTCGGTGGTCCTCTTCTCTCCACGCCTCCTGTCGGGGACGTCGTGCTCCCCCTTAGTCTCCCAAGGCCCCTTTGGCCTTGGGCTCTGGCCCGAGTGCCCTTTCCAAGGCAAGTCCCACACTCCAGAGAACACAGTCTTGCAGTGAGCCTTGGGGTAGGGCCTGGGAGGAAGAGCCAGCGTTGACCTGCTACCTCTCCAACCACCTTCTTAACAGACCTCGAGTCTCACTCCACTTTCCTACCTCTATGCTCTCATCATAGCCTTAACGATGGTGGTAACAAATTACCTTCACATTTGCAGAAAAGGTACCACCTTTGGGAAAATGTGCTTAGGAGGAGTGACTATTAATACCATGCCACTGCTGGAATCCATATCTGTTTATTATCTCTATCCCTACACCTGCTTAGCCTGGATTTTCCTCCCTCTCCCCAATTCCACTGCGACATAACCAGTTAATTCCCATGAAGAGGTTAACCACTGGCAGCCACTTATTTTCTTGCCTCCCTCTCTCCAGGTATTTCCTCATCTTCCTGACCATAAGCCGCACCTGTGTATTTGTCAAACAGGTTACCCCCGCCCTGCCCCTGGAGAGCCTGCTCCAATCGCTTCCAAGTGGGACCCAGGAGGCTGTATGTCAATGGGAGCCCCATGGGATCTTTAGATCCAGGAAGTTGGGAAACACTACCCAGCCTGCAATGTGTTTCAGACACCTGAGTAGAGATTACTCCTCAATTCACACCACAAAGATAGCACATGAGCCAGTAATTGCAAGCGCCACCTCCCGCCCCCACAGAATCTGAGCCTATAAACCTGTTACCGGGCCCAGGCTGCAGCATCGAGGTGTCTCAAATGCAACGAGAGATGCTGAAAAGAAATGGTGATTTGTTCTCGGAAAATCTGAGTTCTCAATCTGGCCCTGGCAGTCAATAGTCAAAGCCCGGGCAAGCTGCTGTGCTTCCGTTTCCTCATCTGCACTCCCTCTATTGCTGCCCATTGTGACCTTCCTGTTTAGACCACTATTCCCTTTGACCCAGAATTTCTACTCTAGGGCTTTTTTTCTGAGGAACCAGGGAGAGGTACAAGAATGTCTATCATACAATCCTACATTACAAAAGGCTAATATGCAAATTGTTCCCTTGACCAGGAGTTCAATCAGGAGTTCAACTGGGAGTTCGACCATGGGGCGGGGCCGGCCAGCCAACTGCCTTTGGCCCCTCCCCCCAATCAGCTGGCCAACCTCCTGCAGCCCCTCCCCCCACCTGGCCCCAACCAGGATCAGCCCCCCCACCCCGATAAGGGGTGGGGCTGGCCAGCCAATGGTCCATGGCCCTGCTCCCCAGCCAGCCCAGCCCAATCAGCCCAATTGGGTTGGGCCAGCCAGACCCCACCCAGAACGAATTCATGCACCCGGCCTCTAGTTATTTATAATGATGAAAAATTGGAAGTCATCTTAATGTCCATCATTAGGGAACAGTTAAACACTGATGTATCTAGACATGGAATATGATACAGCCTTAAAGTGATAATGGAGATAGTGTTTAGTATGGAAGCAGGTTACGACACAAAGTTTAAACTCTGATCTTAGGTTGAGGTTCTTTTTTTAAGTGTGTATGGTGTTTGTAGAGAAAATCCATAAAGTTATAGACCTAAATATTAGCAGTGGTGGAATTAGGGGTAACTTTTTCTTTTTCTCTATATGTACCTGTAATTGCCAGTGTTGTTTTGCAGTGAGTTTAAAATGATAGTCAGTGGGGAACCATGCTCCCCCCACTTGTAGAGCTAGTTCGTGCAGGGGCCAGGGGCCCCCACACAGCCAGCAGGCGGGCGTGAAGGGAAGGGCTCTGCTTAGAGGCAATGTGAACACGAGGTGTTCTTTCCTCAATAAAGCCCATCTCCCTCTTTCACTGGACATTGGAGTTGTAAATATTTTGTCCAAAACATGTTAATTTTCCCGTGTTATGGAGAAAAACACCAATTCACCCACCTGGAGCCCATTCCAGGGAACTCTGGCTTCCCGGCTGGCCTGTGAGCAGCTGGTGGACTAGCCTAAGGCAAAGGCAGAAAAGGGCTGGCCTCTGCTTCCAGGCCTTTCAGAGAGAAAGCTTTCCCTCCACCCCTCTCAGCTGGGGGCTGGAGAAGGTTCAGGTGTTTCCAATGGGGAGTAGGCGGGTCCCAGCCAGCTTCCTGCTCTAAAAGCACGAGCATCCGCCCCCTGCCTGGCTGGTTTGTGGGCGCCTGGGCCATGGCGTGCTGGTCGAGAGGATGTGGTGGGAGTCCCTCAGGCTGGCTCAGGCCAGGCGGGAGGTGAGTGATTCCTGGGGCAGAGGGAGGGGACACCATGACCTTGTCTGGTAAAGTCCATTCCTTAACTCTCTCTCCCACCCCCTTCTGCACCTATAGGTCACTTTCCCTGTTGTTATCCCTTGTGACTCTGGTGCACTCAACAGAGGTTGCGCAGCTGAGGACTTCCGTCTTCTCAGGTACACCGCCTGGGGGGCAATGCCTTTCCCACCCTGAGCAGGTGCAGCCGGGGCCAAATGGCCAGGAAGCACAAACACGGGTGGGATAGTTTCCATCCCCCCTTTCTTACCCTGAGCAAGTCACTAGAATTTTCTGTGGCCTGCCTATGGCTTCATGTAGAATGAAAGCGCTTGCAAAGACATCTGCCCGCTGCCTCACACTTCATGGCATCCAAAGAACACAGGATGCAACCTAAGGCCCTCTGAGAGCAGCAGTCCTCAAACACCGACTCATGCTTCAGGAAAACAGCAACTCGGCGGCCGAATCAGAGCTGTTCCACCTGAAATGAGCGTTTTTCTAAACTTTCACCTGAGCTAGAGGATGCGGAGTAGCAGATTATAGGCAGAATTTAACCTTAGAAAGCGACCTTGAGTTTACACAGGGCCTTTTTTAAAGCTTCAAATTGAAGAATCTTTTAGACAAAACTTTTGTTCTCCAGTTCTTCACAGACATGCAGTCCCTCCTCCCCACCTCGTCAGCGTCACTGTCAGGGCCCAGCCGGGTTTCCGCACAGGTGTTACCCTAAGCCAGGTGTACCCCTGGGAGCTCGGCAAGCCCTGGCACTTGCAGTGCCGGGTATCACACTGAAGTATGTCGTTCCCGCTAAGGTGTGCTCCCCTGCGGGCGGCGGACAAGCTGCCTCTCCCAGCTGGCGCCTCCCTTGATGCCTGTGGGAGAGGGAGCCCTCCGTATACTTCCGTGGGAGTCACGCGCCTATAGTTCAGAGGCCCCAACTCTCTCTTTGTTCTTCAGGTACTGTCACTTGCCATGAAGATAGAATGACAGTGGAGTTTTCAAGCGATCTTGGCACTGAGAAATGGCATGCATCTGTGATGGGTTGGTAATGTGTGTATTCCTAGCTTAGTCTAAGCAGAACACCTGGGCTCGAGGCCAGCCCCATTTTTCATAAACTCTGGAGCAACGCATCCAGTTCCCATAATGCCATGGGGGCACTTGCTTTGTATGATGTCTCCAAGCGTGGAAGACGTGTCTTTCTCTTACCTCAGAATCTCCGGGGAAACTTCAGCTGTGGGTCACAGCATCTCTCAAAGCTCAGGCCACATCACGCAGACAATAAAAAGTGAAGTAATTAAAGAGCCTTAGGAATGGATCGGCAGTCTTGGCTCTGAGGCTTTGGTTGCTTCTGTCACTGAATGTACTTCTTGGCCACCCCTCTCTAAATCTCTCTGGCTTCTGTAGATCCCTTTGGTCTTGAAATGCTGAATTGCACTTATGTCCTCAACCCAGAAGAGCGCACCCTACAAGCTCCCTATGAGACCTGTACCAGCAGAGTGGTAAGTAATTGCTTTGAGGAGTGATTTGGGAAGTAGTAACCTAGTAGTTACTAATTCTCACCTACTCGCGAAGGGTATAGGCTTTGGACTAGAACAGTGTTTCTCAACCAGGGGTGACATTTTTGTTTGTTTTTTGCTTTTGTCTACATGGAGGACATTTGACAATGTTTAGAGACATTTTTCAGACATTCTTGGTTATCAAAACTGGAGGGGAGGAAGCGGGCACTGGTGTCTAGTAGATACAGGCCAAGGGTGCTGCTAAACAGCCTATATTGAATAGGATGACCCCCCACCCCCACCCCCATAACACAGAATTATCAGGCCTGGAATGCCAATAACGCTGAGGTTGAGAAACCCGGAGTTGAGGTCTTGGGCTTGAGTCCTGGCTCTGCCACTGTCTGGCTGTGACCTTGGGCAAGTTAGCTAACCTTTTTAAGCCTCTGCTTGCCCATTGGAAAATGGGGGTTGTGGTACTCTCTCCACACAGTATCTAAAAAGTAATGATCTAAAGCGGATCAGGAGTTGGAGCAGCACCTGGCTACAGCAAATACTCAAACAGGAGCTACTAGTATTTTTATCTGTGACCTCATGGGAAATGGGAGGCCATTATGGTGTGGCAAAGAGACCCTCTATGCCAGGGGTTCTCAATCTTGGCTGCACATTAGAGTCACCTGGGGATCTTTTTAAAATCCTTTCTGAGCCGGCCTCATCCTCCGGAAATTCTGTTTCTTTGTTATGGGGTGGGGCCACAACATTAGTAACAAAGAAACAGAATTTCCGGAGGATGAGGCCCAGAAATCAGGATGTTAAAAAGATTCCCAGGTGATTCTAATGTGCAGCCAAGGTTGAGAACCACTGCTCTATGCTATCAAAACAAGCGTTGGAAAGCAAGCTGCAGCTGAGCAATAGGGCTTCCTCTGTTGTCAGGCACCAGTGCTGCCCAGTGAAGGTTATTGGGGGCAGTAAAGCAACCTCTCTAAGCAGCTCTCAAGCTTGAGCGTGAGGAGAATCACCTGGGGACTGGAAAGTAACGGCTTCCCTCCTTTAGTTGATGATGTAGACCTGGGTGCCTCCTAGAAACCTGCATATCTAACAGGCCACTTCATCTGACCCCACAGTGAAGAGCCAGCAATTAAAATGTTCACCTCCCAACCTTAGGAAGCTTACAGCTGCATTCCTGTAGACCAGGGGTCTGCAAACCACACCTGTGGGTGCCAAGTCCAGCCCATGGCGTGTGTGTGTGTGTGTGTGTGTGTGTGTGTGTGTGTGTGTGTGAGAGAGAGAGAGAGAGAGAGAGAGATGGTCCTCAAGCTAAGAATGGCTTTTATGTTTTTAAAAAGTTTTTAAAAGTACATATTAGAAGTTACATATGGCCTACAAAGTGTAAAGTATATACTAACATTTAACAGAAAAAGGTTGTCTGACTCCTACTTTCAACCAAGTTCCTTAAGGCAGGGAAATACTCAAAGATGGCTCTCCCCGCACCCTGGCTGCTACACTGATGCTTCATGAGTATTTGAATGACTTGGTAGAGGCCCCAAACCAGCCAGGACTGTGGCTTACGGTAGACTGACACAGGGTAAGGATAAGAAGAAAATGAAAACTGAACTTTAATCCCTGAAGTTCCAGGAACTGTTCTCTGCCAATGTATGCATTCTGCTGGGCTTTCTCACGGGCTGGCTGTAGTCTTCTGGTGTCCGGATGAGGGACCTTCCAGAACCTGCTGTCCTGGTGACCACTCCACGGGTCAGATGGCATCTGGAATCTCCTTTCCCACGGAGGTCCCAGCACCTCCTGTTCTTACGAGACCATTTGCACACAGCTTGGTCAGCACCAGATGACCATCAGGTTCATGGACAACAGTGCTGCTATGGAACGCAAGGCTTTCATGTATCAGGTCAGCTGTCCAGCTGTGCCGGCAGGAGGAGCCCAGGAGCACCCAGGATCCACCCTGTGCACGAAGGATTTCATGTCTGTGAGTAGAGAGGCCGACAGCTTCTCCCACAACCCACACAGAGGAGTGTGATGTCTAGACAGAGTCGGGCTTAGGAACAGGGTCAGAATTGCGATCCTGTATTCACTACTTATTAGCTCTGTGGCTTTGAGTTGATATTTTAAACAAACCAACTTTTTGTTTCCAAGCCCCGAAGTGGGAGAAAATAACACTTCCCTTGCAGTGGTTCTCAACCTTCCTAATGCCGCGACCCTTTAATACAGTTCCTCATGTTGTGGTGACCCCCAACCATAAAATTATTTTCTTTGCTACTTCATAACTGTAATTTTGCTACTGTTATGAATCGTAATGTAAATATCTGATATGCAGGATGTATTTTCATTGTTACAAATTGAACATAATTAAAGCATAGTGATTAATCACAAAAACAATATGTAATTATATATGTGTTTTCCGATGGTCTTAGGCGACCCCTGTGAAAG